AACAAAAGAAAACCAATTTCCTTGATAAACAGACAGAAAACTTCTCAATAAAAAATCTGCAAACCAAATTCAACAACACATTAAAAAGATTATACACCATAATTAAGTTGGTTTCATTTGAGAAATGCAGGATGGCTCAACACACACTAATTAGTAAAGGTAATACTTAACATAAATAGTATCAAGGACGACAGTATCTACAGATACAAAAATAGTCCTTGACAAAATGCAATATCCTTTCATGATAAGTCCTTGGAGAAACCAGGAACAGAAGGAACATACCTTAGCATAATAAAGATTGCAAACCTATTGCAACATTATACTAAATGGGAAAAAACTGAAAGCATTTCCTCTAAAACCAGGAATGACAAGGTGTCCACTTTCTCCATTCTTATTAAATATAGTGCTTGAATTCTTAACAAAAAAAAATAAGAAAAGGGAAATAAATAAACAAATAGGAAGGAAAGAAGTCAAATGATCTTTTTTGCTGCTGATATAATCCTTTACTTAACCCTAGACACTTAGATCTGAGAAGTAGCATTATTCAAAGTCAAAATACAAACTAGGAGCTTTTATATGCCATTAATCAACATGCTGAGAAAGAAATCAGGAAAGCAATCCCATTAAAGATAACCTCAAGCCAGATGTTAGTGGCTTATACCTGTGATCCTAGCTACTCAGGAAGATCACAGTTCGAAGCCAGCACAGGCAAATAGTTCTCAAGACCCCATCTTAAAAAAAACCATCACAAAAAAGGGCTGGTGGAGTGGCTCAAGGTGAAGGCCCTGAGTTCAAACCCCAGTACTGCAAAAAAAAAAGAAAAAGAAAAAGAAAAAAAATCCTCAAAGATAATACAGTTAGAAATAAACCTACAAAGGAGATCACATACCTTTTTAATTAAAACAGTGAAGAAAGAAACTGAAGAAAACACTAGAAGAAGGAAAGAGCTCCCATGTTCATGGATTGGCAGAATAAATACTGTTAAAATGGCCATACTGCCAAAAACCAAATACAAATTCAATGTGTTTTCTATCAAAATTCTAATGACATTTTCCACAGAAATAGAAAAACTGAAAATTCATATGTAAACACAAAAGATGTAGAAAAACTAAAGTAATCTCAAGCAAAAAGAATAATACTTGAGGTATCACAATACTGGATTCCAAATTATACTACAGAGCCACGGTAATAAAAACAGCATAACTGCCATAAAAACAGACACACAGACCAAAGGAATAGAACAGAGGATCCAAAAATAAGTCCTTGAAGCTGTTAGCAATCTGATTTTTGACAAAGATGTCAAAAACATACTTTAGAGAAAAGATAGTCTCTCCAAATGGTGCTGGAAAAACTGGATATCTATATATAGAAGATGAAAACTGACCCCTATCTCTCACCTTGTACTAAAATCAATCAAAATGGATCAAATACCTTAATGTATGATCTGAAATTTTGAAATTACTACAGGAAAACATAGGGAAAACATAGGGTAAGATACAGGCCTAGGTAATGACTTCCTGAATAGGACTCCAACTGCTCAGGAAATAAGAGCAAGAACTGATGAATGGGACTGCATCAAATCCAAAAGCTTCTGCACAGCAAAGGAAACCAATTACAAGAGTAAAGAGACAGCCTACAGAATGAGAGAAAATCTTTGTCAGCTATTTATCTGATAAGGGATTAATATGCAGAATATAAAGAACACAAAAAATTAAATACAAAAAGAACAAATAATCCATGGATAAATTGGCAAATGAATTAAAAAGACAGTTCTCAAAGGAAGTAAAATGAGTCAGGCACTGGTGGTTCACCACTGTAATCCTAGCTACTTGGGAGTCTAAGATTGGGAGAATCATGGTTCCAGGCCACACCAGGCAAATAGTTCGTTCACAAGACCCCATCTCCAAAATAATCAGAGCAAAATGAACTGGAGAAGTGGCTCATGCAGTAGAGTGCCTGTTTTGCAAGTGTGAAGCCCTAAGTTCAAACCCCAATCCCCCGCCCCCCAAAAAAAGAAGTACAAATGCCAATAAATACATGAAAAAATGTTCACCATCCCTAGACATCAGGGAAATACAAATCAAAATTACATTAAGATTCCAACTCACCCAGTTAGAATGGTTATCATCAAGAAAACAACAAATGCTGAGGAAGATAAGGGGGAGGGTACTTAACTACTGATGGGAATGTAAATTAGTACAGCCACTATGAAGATCAGTATGTAAGTTCCTCAAAAAACTAAAAACAGAACCACTATATGATCCTGCTATACCACCTCTGGGTATATCCCTAAAGGAATAAAAGCATACAATAGAGATGCTTGAACACGTTTACTGCAATAGTATTTATAATAGCCAAATTATGGAAACAGTCTAGATGCCTATCAATGGATGACTGGAAAAGAAAATGTGGTATAATATACACAGTGGATTATTATTCAGCCATAAAGAAGGATGAAATTATGTCATTTGCAGGAAAATGGATGGATCTGGGAGTCACCATGTTAAGTGAATAAGCCACCCTCTGAAAGACAAATATCACATGATTTCTCTCATATGCAGAATATAGAACTTTTAAAAAAGACATAAAAGTAGCAGGGGGGCTTTTTGAGGGAAAAAGACAAGAGAAAGTGATCGGGGTTGTGAATATAATCAAAGTATATTATATACATGCATGAAAATGTCATAATTAAACTCTTATTTTTATAATTAATACATGCTAATAAAAAGTTAGGCAATAGGAAATTAGTTAGTTTGGAATTTCTCTTCTATAAGGTTTTTTTTTTGGCAGTTATGGGATTTGAAGTCAAGGCTTCACACTTATGATCAAGGCACTTGAGCCCTGCTTCCAGCCCTTTTTGCTCATTATTTTTGAGATAGGGTCTTACTTTTAGCTCAGGCCAGCCTGGACCACAATCCTGTTTTATGCTTCCTGCCATAGCTGGGATGGCAAACACATGCCACCAAACCCACGCCCAGCTTTTCTCCACTGAGATGGGGTCTTCTTAACATTTTGGCCTGTGTTGCGGGGAGGGAGGCAGGCTATTCTTCTCCTCCCCTCCTCCCATCTCAAACTCCCAAGAAGCTAGGATTACAGGCATGAGCCACTAATACCTAACTTCTTCTACAAGTTTTTATAGAGGAAAAAAGTTTAGAGAAGAAAAAAAAATTCAAAAGATGCTGGAAAAATATAAAATCTAAAAGTTTCTACTGGGTAAAATACACACATACATCCATATATATATCAAGCAAGAAATAAAAAAATAGACACATTTAAGACTGAAACAGTCCCATGATGTCAGAAAGACAGAAAAACTGATGGCAATCATTAGATACAGATATTGAAACTAGGAGACAAAATAAAATTGAAAAAGGAGAAAAAGTAAAGGGAAAAGAAACCACATCTAGTCAGTACTTTGCCTTTTCCTCCTCGGTACACAGAAAACTATCTCTCCCAGCTGTCCCAATAGTCATGTGATTGAATTTTGGCAAACCAGAAGTGATACATACCACAAAAGCCACTTTCAAGCTGACCCTTAAAAATGTCCTGAAGGACCCTCCAATGTCCATCCATCTTTATCTTTCCCTTCTCCACCTCTTCCTCCTCCTCTTTTTCTCCCCCTCTTCCTCTTCCCTGTCTATATCTCTTATTGGCTTCAATAGAAGACTCCAAAGACCTAAGAGATGATAATGCCAATAGTTGAAAGGAGGTTGATAATCCAAATGACAGCATGTGGCATTTTTCAATGTTGGCCAATCAGGCCAGGTGCACTGGCTTATACCTATAATCCTAGCCACTCAGGAGACAGAGATTAGGAGGACTGAGGTTGGAAGCTGGCCTGGGTAAAAAATCAGTGTGACTCCCATCTCAACTAATAAGCTGGGCATGGTATCACACTTCTAACATTCCAGCTATGCAAGAGGCATAAATAAGAAGAATCACAGTCTAGGGTGGCCTGGATAAAAATGCAAGACCCTATTTGAAAAGTAAGCAAAGCAAAAAGGGTTGGGTACATGGTTCAAGTGGTAGAGCACCTGAGTTCAAACCTCAGTACTGCCCCCACCACCAAAAAAGTTGATTAATCAAGTAACAGAAAGAATAAATACTGTCTAAAGAAACAGTATTATAACTGTAAACACGAGAAAAGAAAAATCTTAATTATTATAAAAATTACAGCTTTATATATAACCAAAAAAAGATAGGAAAACATATGTGAAAGTGGATTTTAAAAACTATCCAAACCTGAAAATATAATGTAAGACAATATATAGAATTAAGCCTATACACACACACACACACACACACACACACACACACACATATAAAATGTAACTGAACTTTCATCCATTAAAATGAAAAGATATTCAGCTGGTTCACAAAGAAATTCTAACCTATGATGCACATGAGCCTCACTTAAAGTGACTCAAAAAGAAAAAATAAGTAAAAGAATGTATAAAAGCCCTAAATGAAGCATAAAAAGCCAAGGGAACAGATTCTCCCCTAAAGCCTTAGGAAGGAATGCAGGCTGCAAACACCTTTATGATAACCCTGAAGACCAATTTTCAACCAGTATTGTGTGCATATCTATGATCCCAGCAACCAGGAGGCTAAGGCAGGAGAATCACGAGTTCAAGGCCAGCTTGGGCTATGTGGCAGAACCATGTTTCAAAACAAACAAAAACTCGAGACCCATTTTTAACTTCTGACCTCCAGAGTTATAAGGTAATAAACTGTGTTGTTTTAATCTATTAAATAGGAGACTAATTCTAAGCATAAAAGGGTAAAAAGAACTGGGAAGGATTGAGAGTCAAGGTAAGCTAGAAGACCAGAGAATATAATTTGATAGAAATAGGGAGGAAAAAATCCAAAGTGAGGGTGAGTTTCTAGAGAAGTGCCTGCTAAAGAGATCTCAGTTGCCACCTGAAGCCCAGGATGGCTTCCACATGACCACTTGGGTGGGCACTTTACAACAGCCCTCTCAGCCAAGTTATGTCACTCACCTGCACATTGATCATGTGGCACCTGTCTTTCCATCATCCAGGGTTCTTTCCCTTGCTCCAATAAGGAGATCATGTTGGGTTTAGACATGGAGAGTCCTAAGTACAGGGGAAGAAAAATGAGAGCAAGAGACAGAGAGACAGACAAGTCAACATACTATAGCTATTGTAGTTCCTATACCCAATCTGTCGATCATGAAGTAAGGAAGCACACCTGAGGAAGTCAGAGAATGGAACTGTGCTGGTATGGGGTATGAGGATGAAGCTTTTTCCCACAGCAGCAGTTCTCAAGGTGTTAGTGCAGCTGTGGCCATCACCTAGACACTAATCTGAAATACAAATTCCTAGGCCCCAACACAGACCCATTGGATCAGAAACTACAGTGGCTCTGAAACATTAGCAGCAATAGGATTTGGAGGGTTCATTAAAACCCAGACTACTTGGCCCATTCCCAGGGTTTCTGATCTTGTAGTCTAGAGTAGGTACCGTAATTTGCATTTTAATTCCCAGGGCATGCTGATGTGGCTGCTCTAAACCACCATTCTACAGCAACTCTGTGCAATTTTAAACCACTTCCTGAGATTAGTGCTTATTCGTGGCAATTTCAGGGTGCCTGAGATATTCCCAGTGAAGGAATAAAAATATCTCAGAGGGGAAATCTGTGGGGAGAAACATCCTTACCAAGCCATACCAAGTTCTTGTAGTTCTCCAACATGACTTCCTTGTATAAATCCTTCTGAGACGGGTCCAGCCATTCCCACTCCTCTTGGGAAAAGTTTAGAGCCACATCTCTGAAGGTCACAAACCCCTGAAATTAAACAAGGAAAAAATTTTTGTTCTTAGTGTTCAGACTCCCATATGGACCTACTAAAAAGGATGAATTCTTCCACAGTTCAAAGTTCTAAATAATCATTAGAAAACAATTACATGTTCATGTTTGTGAATATATCTTGAGCAAAAAGAAATATTAGAAACAGACTCACCTCTTGAAATTTTTACATTTTTAAAAAATACACATATACACAAGAAAAAATTAGCCTATAACATGAAAAAGTATATGAACAAGGGCTAAGTAATATGTTACATATACTAAGTATAAAGAATTTCTTGGGCTGGGGTATAATTTGGTGGTATAGCGCTTGCCTAGTATGTGTGAGGCCAAAAAAAATATCATTAGAATAATAACTAAATAAATAAAAGGAAAGAAAGAAATTCTTATACAGAGAATTCCTTTATATTCCCCAAACTGGGATATTAGGCAGAGAATAGCAGTGAAGGAGGATCTTGAATTGGGTTTTAAAAAATAGGTATGGTATAGGGCTGGGTGAGGGGGCTTACACTTATAATCCCAGTTATGTGTGGGAGTGGGGGGCGGAGGTGGCCAGACGTTGGAGGATTGCAGTCCCAGGTAAAAGTGAGTCCCTATTTGAAAAACTAAAGCAAAAAGGGCTTGGCGGGGAGGGGGGCAATTACTCAAGTGAAATAGCACTTGCAAGTAGGAGACCCTGAGTTCCAACCATTGTACTGAGAAAAAAAAAAGATATGGCCTGAAATCCAGGGATGTATCCTAAAGAAATAGGAAGTATGCATGAAGAGATTTAGATACAATATTCCTTGGAAGATTATACAAAGATGTGTGTTTTTATGTCTAAAAACAGTATAGTCTATAGCACTAAACTATAAACTGCAAAGGGGTATCTATTACAAAACTTATCACATGGGAAACAGTAAATATTTGAATAAATGGTTATTTCGTTAATACATCCTACAAAACTTATCACATGGGAAACAGTAAATATTTGAATAAATGGTTATTTCGTTAATACATCCATATGAAGAAAAAAGTACTCAATGCTTAAAAATAATGGTATTCCAGTCTGTAGAATATGTTCTTATTTTTTACTAAAAATAATGAAATATCAAATATAGTTATTCTGGAATAACTGGAAATAGGGCTGAATGTGTCTGGAGGAAAAAAAATTACACAACTATGCAGTGTGGTATAACTTCCCCGTGCCCCTCTATTCTTCCCTGTGTTGGGGAGGCCGACCTATGTTGACACCATCAATAAATTTCTTTGCTCCACCATATTTTCAGCTGGGTTCATCTGCACACATGAGATACTAGGGAAATGAGTAGGACAAAATATTTATTCCCCTTGGCTTCCTTCCTGAACTGCCACCCTGGGTGATATCTATCCTTCAATTAAAGGTCACAGTGCCTGTCAGGTGCCCTCTCTATCCAGTTCTCTCTGTCTCTGGATTCAGGACTAGGCTAAAAAAGGGAACTTTGCTTTCATAAGCCCTGGGGTGCAGCACCATCCTTTGTAGTTTTTCTATTTCTTGGTAATATCTTTCTTCCCCTCAGTAGTGGGGATTGACTTTGACTTCAGGGCCTCACACGTGCTAGGCAGATGTTCTATCACTGAGTCACACCCCCCCGCCTCCCCCAGTCCTACATTTTAATATCTTATAAATAGTTCCCTTTTGAATTTTCTGCTGAAACTCTTAATAAACATGTTGACTCAAAATACTTTTAGTATATAACCACAGATCTCTCAAAAGCACTGTAAAACAACTCTATTATACTTCCCTGAAAAATTAATTCTCCTGCTCTTCTGTAACTATTACATACCTTCTAGCTCTCTCAAACCACTGCCAACACCTCCCATGTTTTCACTTTGAACTTCCTCATCTTCCCTCTCTATGCTCCTAAGACCATCCCTCCACTTGCCAAAACAAAGACATTGTCACCTCTTTCCCTAATATCACCAGCTTTTCACTTTCTTGAATCATTCTAATAATTCAAAGCAATGCAGATTCTTCCATCTTACAAGAAATATATAAATTGATTCATTTCATGATCTCACTCTGGTTATTGTCTTATTTCTTTACTCCTTTTAATAAAAAACTCTTCCAAAGTTTTGTCTAGACCAGTGATATCCAAAAGAAATATGTAAGTCATATATGTAACTTACATAATTTAAAATTTTTAGTAACCAATCAAAAAGTAAACAGAAATAAGTGAAATTAATATGTCTTTAACCTAGTGTAACTAAAATGTTAGCATTTCAAGATATCAATACAGAAGATTATTAAAAGAACTTTACATTCTTTTTTACTAACTCTTCAAATACAGCATATATTTTATATTTATAGCATATTTCAATTTGGAGTACTCATATTATTTTAGGTCTAGATTCACTGTCTCCATTCTTCCTCCCCCCTTCCATTTTCTCTTGAACCCATTGCAATGGTTCTTTCATTCCACTTGCTCTATAAAGTAAGTCTAGTAAAAAAAAATTCAGTCATTTTCATGTTACCAAATCCAGTGGTCAGTCCCTCTCTCCTCTCCCTCTCTCAAACTCCTGGACACAGGTGATCCCCCAGCCTTAGCCTCTCAACTAGACAATAGGCACACACACCACTGCACCTGGGTCTTCTTGGTCTGTTTTGCTGATTTCTTCCTCTAAATGTTGAAGTCTTAAACTCAGTCCTTGTACTTTTTTCTTATTTACATTTGCCACACTTTGCCCTCAAAATAATCTCATCCTTACCTGGTTCCAGTGGCTCATGCCTGTAATCCTAGCTACTGGGGGCTGAAATTGAGAGGATCAGGGTTTGAGACTAGCACAGACCAAAAAGTTGGTGAGATCCCATTCCAGCTACATGGGAGGCTGAGATTGAATCACAGTTCCAGGCCAGCCAGCCTGTGCAAAAAAGTTTGCAAGATCCCATGTCAACATGGGGGAAAAAAAAGCTGGGTATAGTGGCACACACCTGTCATCCCAGCAATGGCAGGAAGTGTAAATAGGATGATCCCAATCTAGGGCACCATGGGCAAAAAGAACTTTTCTCCAAAATAACCAGAGCAAAAGGGGCAGGTGGCATGGCTCAAGCCATACAGCCTAGCAAGCACAAAAGCCTGAGTTCAAACCCTAGTACCTCAGGAAAAAAATTTAAAAAGAAAAAAAAAGATATTCTTATTCTGTCCCATTGCTTAACTTAATATATCCAAAACTCAATTCTTGGTTCCAATCTTCCCCTGCTGTCTTTTCATCTCAGTAAATGGTATGACCATTTATGCTGCTATCCAGCCCCAAATCCCATCCATCCTAAACTTCTTTCTTCCTTCCTTTCATGCTCTATAACCAATCGCTGATCAAATGCCATTTTCCATCTCTACCCTATATCCAGAATTTCACCAGCTACTGCTACAGTCCAGGTTTCTATCACCTCCTACCTGGATTACTGTGATAGTTGCTTTACTGGCCTCCCTGCTTTCACTTGTACCATCTCTCTCTCTCTTTTCCTTTTAAAACATAAATCAAATAACATCACAAACACTCCAATGCTCTTTGACACTCAGAACACAACTCAAAGTTTTGCTCATAACTTTGAGAGTCTACAGAATGTGGTCCCCAGATACATCTCTGACCTCATAATGCTGATTCTCCTCCAAGGATACTGGCTCATAGCTATTTCTGAAACACACCAAACAAGCACCCACCATAGTAATATTGTATTCGCTATTCCTTCTACTTTTAAAGTTTTTCCCTAGATTTCCACAAAACTTACTCTCTACTTGCACTGAGTTTTTGCTTTGTATAACTCCTTAGAGTTGTCAGTTCCTCAGACAGCCCTCCCTTGACCTCCTTTATTAATAGAGCACTTTGTCATTCTCTATCCTTTAATTCATTTGTACCCGTGTGCAACTCAATAAATCATAATCCATAAAGAAGACAGTTCTGATTCATGACACATTTGATCATACTAAGTAAAAAGCTATTAAATGTTTTGTAGAAAGAGTACATAATAAAACAGAGAAAAGTGGACAGGGTGTCACTGGGTTATTTGTGATTCTCTCTTTGGTCCTAAAAAATTAGGTGAAATTGTAAAAAACATCAGTTTACCTGAGACATGACTTTACAAAGTCCAACAGCCATTCCTCCTTCCTTTATCAGTTTTCTTTTTTGTTGGGAAAAAGGTCCTGAGAAGGGAGAGTTAAGGAAATAAAAATAACAACTTGGTTCTACGTTGCTGGCGTGGGACTCGCTAAGGTAGAACTATTGCCCCTGTATCCTTCCCATATCCTTTTTATATGGGCCAGACTCGTCTTTTCTCAGATCTGAGAAAAGGTCAATGCTGAATGAACCCCCCCCTGAAGTCTTGACTTACAGTAAGGACAAACATCCAGAACTCAACAAAAACTAGTCTATCCTGTAGCCAACAAGCCATTTTATGATCTGACACTGGCTGCCCCTCTGACCTCATTTCCTAATCTTGTCCCTTGTGCTTACCCCAGTTGCACAGGTCTCCTTACTGTTCCTCCAACACTATGTACACTCTTCCTTCATAGCTGTTGCCTTTGCTTTTCCTTCTGCCTGGAACCCTCTTCTCCCAGATATTAGCATGGCTCACTTACTCTCTATTCCTATTTGTGATCAGTTGTCACTACAACTAAAGAGGGACTTCTGTGAAAAATTCTCTCTAAACAGAATGTCTTCCAGTCACTCTCTTTTTCCTTATTCTAATTTTTCTCCTTTTATTTATCACCACTTAACACATACATTTTTTGGGGGGGGTGCTGGGGTTTGAACTCAGGGCCTACACCTTGAACCACTCTGTCAGCTCTTTATTGTGAAGGGTTTTTTTTGAGACAGTGTCCCTTTAACTATTTTCCAGGCTGGCTTTGAACTGTGATCCTTCTGATCTTTGCCTCCTGAGTAGCTAGGATTACAGGTGTGAGCCACTAGCACCTGGCTTATCACATACATTTTATTTCCACACAAGATTATATGATCCATGAGAGCTAGGATTTGTTTGGCTCACTAGTGTACTCTAGTGCTGGAACAATGCCAGAACTATTGTTACATGTTCAAAAATACTGGATAAATAAATAAAATCGACTCTGCCTCATGTAATGTATATAGCAACAGTATGTCTGTGTGCATGTTATTATCTGAACTAATCATTAAAAAAACCCTGCAAAGGCAGGTATTATTACCCCCCATTTTACTAATAAGTGAAATTGAGGTTCAAGAAGTTTAAACAACAGCTCAGTGTCATGAGAATCCATGACTCTCATGCGAGTGTGACTCAAAAACTGGTTTCTTTCAAGAAGGTACAATGTCTGAATGGGAAATATTTAACAAAATCTGAAACAATGCCATATATTCCTTAGAGAAGTGTCTTCAGCGATGGCAGGTGTTAGCTTTATTACTTCCCAGAAAAAACAGGAAAGGAAACACTGCCAAATTGCAATACTAAAAAACAGCAAACTGTGAGGCCTGAAAGAAGTTGCTTGTTATATCAGAGTCAACATTTTTTCATTCTAAAAATTTGGGCAGATGTGATTGACCTAGAATTCAGGATTCCTGACCTGTAATTCTGAGCTGCTCTACACTAGCCAACTGTCTCTAAGAGTGAAGAGTGTTATTTTCTTAGTGCAGTACAGCTTCTGCAACCTGAGAGGACAATCAATGTATTCTACTTGGCATCTAGGATCAGAAACCTCAAGAGGTACCTGTGTAAAAGAAATTTATTTAAAGGCTCTGTTTGTTTTGTTCTGACAGCTGTATATCCTTTGGATAACAGGTTTCTAGATTTAAATTGGACCGTCAGTCTCTACAACATGTAGTGGGAAAGACTTGATTTTTAAGTAGCTCCCAGATCAGGTTGACTCTTCGTTCTTCTCACTGGCTACAAGACCCTGGGCTAATTAATTTCTTTCTCAGAATCTTTCTTTTCTCAAAGCCAGGACTGCATGAACCAATACCTGGCATGGAGAGATGTCTTTTGTTCCTGCTTAGATTCTACACCCACATCTGGAAAGGAAATGAGAACATTTATATTAACTAAGAAAATCAAAACCAAAAACCTAGTGCACTTGGTACAACAGAAAAAGTTGTACCAGCATCATTCAGTACCAAATATAGACTAGTTTTGTCAAGGACAAAGCTAAAATCTCAAACTCTGTGGCCTAAGGAGAGGAAGACTGGGCATTCAGGTTGGTCTTCCCTTCCCCAGAAGCAGCCAACTTGAGGACATTCTCACTACAATGACATTAGATTGGGTCCTGCAACTCACAAACTAAAGGAAAGCACCTAGATTAAGTTCTCATGTTCCAAAGGTTCCTAGTGAACAAGACCAGAGATAATCCCCTCCAACACCCTCAGAATCCAGGGTTCCCAGTTTTCATTGTCACAGTCTGGGAAAAAAAAATCAAAGCAATTAATTATTTCAGAGCAAGAACTCTAGAGCCAAACTGCTTGGGTTTGAGTCCTGGTTCTGCCACTTACTGTGAACTTGGGCAAGCAACTTTCATCTTTCTGTGACTCACAATCAATGACTATGTCCCAGAATCAAGCCCACAATCTCACATACAAATTCTTGCCCAGTCACACACATACACAAGGTTGCCAAGTCACACACTCCACACATCACGTTAGCACAAGCAGAGATGGTCACACAGTCACATATGGTAGCATGCCACATAACGTCATTCTTGCCACAATTACTCATACAAATCTATACCTGCAGAAACAGATGGGCATGGTCACACAACTACATTCCAACGCAGCTGTATCCACAGACATATGGTCAGAGTGACACACACAGACACACACAATGTCACAACCCATACACAGTAACACATGGTCACACCTGCAGAGGCTGTCACATACAAATACATATATTCACAATTTCCCCCTCAAAGACAGTCACAGTCACACACACCTGAGGTGACACACAAGATAACACTGTCACACCCGCAGCCTGTCACATAAATTATACACAGTGACACACCCTCACACACGTGTGTCTCTGCAGATTCACCGCCTGATGCCCATCCGCGTTCCCGCCCCGTCCATCCTGAGCCCTGCGGGACCTCCCGCCCTGGGCCGGGCCTAACTCACCTTGCGGCGCCGCGGGCTATGGAAACGGGCCCCGCCCTACTCCGCGACCCGCGACGTCACTACCCAGAATCCTCCGCGAGCCTGAGCCTCATTATGATGTAGGCCTGCAGTACAGCCGGCGCTCCGCAGGATTTTAGCTAGCCGCTCGGCGTTATCCATCAAGCCCCACGAACCACCAGTCCCACAGTGCTTTGCGCCGACTACATTTCCCAGAGGGCGCTACGGTGGCGCGGCCAGAGGTACGCTTGCTAGGGCACTCAAAGGGAACGTGGGTTACTCCGCGTGAGGAGATGACAAGACTCCGCGAGTGGGTGACTGTGACTGAACGCTCGGGTGTGGTGGTTTGTGTGCGGCTGCTGCTTGTGGACGGATTGTCAGTGTACTGAGCTGAGTTTTAAATCACGACCCCTGATTGTGGGGCGTTGTGTGACAGACTCTGAAGAATGTGAGAGTGACTGGGCTTATGAGACACACTTGCTGATTCGGGGAGGGTTGGTGACCATTACTGCCACTGTGTTCTTATCTTAGAGGTTGCGATTGTTTACCTGCAAACTAGAGCTTGTCGTCTTTAGGGTCGTCTGGGAGAAGAGTCTGTGTAAAGTCCGTGTCTGGCTGCCTCCCTGTTTGTTCCTCCACCTCCGTCCCTCGCCGTGGGCGGAATTAGTATTATCCTCATTTTTATGTCTCTTCTTTACCTGTTTTCAGTGTGATTCTGGTCACAGAAGGCAATTAGATGCCATTTGTGTGAGGATGTTCATTTTCACCAAAGTCACTAGTAATTTAGTAGACCATTACTCTGGTGTTCTGTTGTTTCCGCCTTTCACTTTACAACTTCCTTAGGGCTCAGCTTTGAGTTAGGAGGACAGGAATGTGAGTTCTTGAGAGATCTGTAAGGTGTGCCCAAGTCAAGATGTAATAAATAGGGGTGTATGGAAAGATGGGAGGTTCTTGAGAATCCATTATTGGAGGACACCTGTCCAGTCCCCTGTCACAGAAAACCCTGTAATAGAGAGTCCAGAGAGTCTTGGACAAAAGAAGAGTGGCTGCTGGCTGTGGTGTCTCACTTCTGTAATCCCCGCACTAGGGAGGATCAGGAAGTTGGAAGTCAGCCTGGGCTACATAGCAAGTTGGAGGCCAGCCTGGGATCCATAGCGAGATTCTTTTTCAAAAAATAACAACAAAAAAGAGATGGGCGACAGTGGCTCATGCCTGTAATCCTAGCTACTCAGGAGGCTGAGATCAGAAGGATTGCTGTTCAAAGCCAGCTGGGGCAAATAGTTCGTGAGACCCTATCTCGAAAATACCCATCACAAAAAGGGCTGTTGGAGTGGCTCAAAGTGAAGGCCCTGAGTTCAAGCCCCAGTACCTCAATAAATAGATAAAAAAGAGCCTGGTGACCTTGGCTTATGCCTGTAATACTAGCTACTAAGGAAGCAGAGACCAGAGGAATTGTAGTTTGAGGCCAGCCAAGGCAAGATGAAAGTCAGATCCTATCTCAAATATACCCAACACAAAAAAGGGCTGGTGGGGTTGTTGGAGTGGTAGAGTGCCTGCGTAGCAAGCTTGAGGCCCTGAATTCAAACCCCAGTACTGCCAAAAAGAAAGAAAAAAGTTTGTCTACTAGGGTCAAAATAATTGATGTTTCGTTTGTGAAATTGGGTGTTTTTATTTTCAGAGGAAAGCAATCAACTGTTTTTTAGGGCTCTACAAACATTTAATAGTTGGGGGCTGGCTCAAGTGGTAGAATGCCTGCCTACCAGCTGCCCCCAGTATCACCAAAAAAATTAATAGTTGGGTTGCTTTATAGAGGAAATTTAGTAGATAAGTGTCTTTCTATGATAATTGTGTTATGGTACTTGACAATTACATCAAACAGCTCTTCCTTTGACTTAATAATCAGGCAAGTTAAATATCTTGGATTTTTTATAGTGACACATACTAGAAATTTAAGATACTACATTCTTGTCTAGCAAGGTAAAACTTCAAAAAAAAGAAAAAAACCTTTGGTATGTATGACTGTCTCTTCATATGTCAGTAATCATAGGAAAGCTTTTTTCCCCTTACTTGT